CCCCAAAACCCCAAAACCCCAAAACCCCAAAACCCCAATGAGAATAGTAATATTTGAAACGAAAGAAATGGAGGATGACTGATGTTCTGTTGGGCCAGACCCTTCTCCGGTATCTCTGGCTCCTGTCAAGGCCAAAGAGTATTGCAGCTCTTTACCTAAGTATAAAGGTACTAGTCTTTAGGTCTATTAGCGGTAATTTTCTTAGTAAATCTTTCTTGGCCCTGCTAAACGGATAGTTTCGCTTATATTTTATAGAAAATAAGGCGAAATATACTACAAAAGTCAAGCATAATGTTAAACGAATCGAGAGAATGCTGCATGCACTTGACTTGAAGACAGATAAATTTGAGAAAAATCGTACCAGAATTGGATTAAATATAGGAAGCGATGGCCCTAAAAGTTCATTCCTGAATTTGTTTCATGCAAATCAGGAGAAGTCAGGGATGGTTTATGTCAATCTCAAGACTTATGAGGATGCTAAAAGTAGCCGTAATTCTTTGGTAGAACATATATTTGAGACTATAGAAAAGCCGGATGAAAAAGCAGGCCAATAATGAATACAACGAGTTCCAAGGCGATGAGAAGGTGGCTATGTATTCTACCAATGACTTTCCCAGGGTTAAAATTGAACTAGACAAGAATATAAAGATAACTTTGTCCCAGAAGAGCTCTTATTTGGTATATCTATCTCAAACTATAGCCTCAGCCTAAGCATAAAAGTGCATCAAAGCAGAATAATGCAGCTGCCAGATCTGGAAGGATCAGGAGGCATTACTCCCAAGAGGATAGGGTCACCCAGCTAAGCAACAAGGAGAAGTACTTGAAGAACAAAGAGATTAATGACAAGTAAGCCTAGTGCTCTAACCTCATAGGTATTCGTACAAGGTAGAGGAGACTTCTACTTACAAAAAGCTCAAGAAGTTCTTGCTGGCTGACCAGAGCAAAGTTCATCAATTCGCAATGCATGAACAAAATATGAGGAACTTTGAAAACCAGATGAACCCGGGCTACAAGGGGTTCATCCGTTCAAAGCCTTTTGATAAGTACAAATTAAGTGAGGTTAGTACTTGAGTAATCTTTTAGGACCCCCTGCCTATGTCTCTGGACGATTACGCAAAGAAGGTGAGTCCCATACCTCATTCTTAGAAGAAGACTAAGGCCAAAGGCAAGAATAGCAAAAAGAGAAGGCAAAAGGTAGCTCAAAGAAGATTAATTTATAGGATAAGTCGAGCAAGGTAATTCAACAGAACTTCTCGATCGCTCAGAACCATACTTTTGGCAAGATTACCAAGAGGGTTGATAATTTTATGAGAGTAAGTGTACCAGCCAGGCTCACGTTGTAGAACTCAAGAATGAATCAGAAGAAAGAGAAGTTCCAGATGTCTGTTGACAAGCCAAGAAGATCTTACTTTGCCTCTAACTACGATGATTTTCACCGTACTATATCTTCTAAGCTAGATAACGGTAAAAAGAGCATGCAGAGTACAATGCAGAGGCCTGCTTCATCCAATTTTTATAGTTCAAAGTCAGATAGGATCTATAACTCTGCATTGAGGTCTAAGCTGAATAAGTTCCAGAACTCGAGTACTGTCTCAAAGAGGGACTCGAAGACTAGGAACAAATATAGGGTGTCTCTAAGACCTTTCACTGCTAAGATGCATTCGAGGGGATCCGTTAACAGTAAATCCAAGTGTTAAGTTACTGAGTAGAAGGCCTCTGCTTCTTAATCAGAGGCTCTGAGCTGATAGATTCTGCCAGCATTTCAGCAGGCCATAAAGTTCTTCTAAGTTTGGGATTAAGCTCAATGGTTTCAATCTGTCTGGTAAGGTCTGGGGTTTTGGGGTTTTGGGGTTTTGGGG